GGAAGTGTCAAAAACCTACGTCTGCCAGCTGCTGGCTCCAAAAAGCTCTGGCTCCCATAGACTTGAATTGGAAAAGAAGTGATCACAGATCACGAAATACTGCATTCCTACAGCTCAGGATTTTTTTTGTATTTGTTTTCATAGTCAAATCCAGAGATCAGGTGGCCAATCTGAAAATAAATCAATACTGAATTTTTAAAAAATCGTCAAAGTTTTGCAGTGCAAGGGGCGTGGCTGGCTTGATTGACAGTTGGCAGCGACCATACAGACAAAGCGAGCAGAAGGCGGTAAATGTGGGCGGGCAGAGAGGGCCTGCCTCTCAATCCGTCTGACCAATCGCCGCTCCTATGGTTCCGCCCCCCTCCGATGATTTTTTGCATCACTGGCTCCAAAAATCCAAGATGCCAACCAGGAAGTAGCAAAACCCTGGCTTCATTTTCTCAGTGCAGAAACCAACAGGTGACGTCACGGTAGCTACGTCCATCTTTTATATAGTCGATGCATGGCAGCCAGCAAAGTGAGGGATTGCACAATCTCTCACTACCTACACTGGATGCCATGCAGTGACAACGTGCTGCCGTCTGGATGTCGTCAATAACATGTTTCAAACACAATTAATATATGAACTGATTTTCCATAGTTCAGCTGATGTATATAATAATCCATCCATCCATTATCTATACACTGTTTAATCCTCACTAGCGTCGCGGGGGGCTGGATTCTATCCCAGCTGACTTCGGGCGAAGGCAGGGGACAACCTGGACAGGTCGCCAGTGCATCGCAGGGGGTATATAATAATGTACAGTGTTTCTTGTTACCAACTGTATGTGTGTAAAGTTTTCCGTGTGCTGAGCGGTCATAAACGGCCGAGAAGAGGTTCTAGGTGAGGCAGGCAGTTCTCTTGCCTCATGGCAGGGGGCGCTCTGATCCCAGACATGCTTCTTGTGACTCCGCGGCTGCAGAGTAAGTGACAGCAAGCTAGACTAGGTACCATAGACTGAATAAAAGATGGACGTAGCTACCGTGACGTCACCCGTTGGTTTCTGCACTTAGAAAATGAAGCCAGGTAAATCCCAATTAAACTCTCCAGCTTCCATCAACAGGCTTTGTTGGCATGGGCTTTGCTTTACAAGCACAACTTCTCTCCACAGAAATGTTATATTTGGAACCATTCTGATATTGTGTATAAGAACAAGTCACTTTTTTAAGGATAAGTGGTTCAGCAATGGTATTATTTCAGTAAGTCAGCTCTTTAATCAGGACGGACTACTGTACAGTTAATCAGAATTTCTTGCCAAGTATAAGATTCCAATAAGCCCAAGAGAATTCTCTATAGTTTTTGATGCTGTGCCCTCTGGCCTTCGTCTGTTGTTCAGGACAGCTGATTTCTCTCCACCATTATCAATGTCACCGACAGATCCAACTCAACTGCCATTAGGCAAAATTTGTTTTTCTACCTATAGAACCTCAAACTCTAAAATTAGATCCTTGTTTCAGACTGACCTAGTCTCTACTTCTCCTGCAATTTTCAATTGGAAAAAATCTGGTCCCTACCCCAGAAGTTTCTTTTAACTAACAAAATCAAAGAAATCTCCTTTAAGTTGCTCCACAGGTTTTACCCCACAAATGTATGCATGAATGAGTTTAAGAATGACATTGATGTGAAATGCGCTTTTTGTGGTTTGCATCCTGAAACTATTTCACATTTCTTCTGGTCTTGTGAATTCACATATAAACTCTGGAAAGACATTAACTCATTCACAGTTGATAATATTTTCTCTGATTTTTCCCTGTACGACAAAAATGTCATTTTTTGTTATTTTAGTGACTATGGGAAGAAGGATGATGCATTCTTTCTCGTGAATCTAATCCTACTTGTTGCTAAATTTCATATCCACAAATGCAAATTCACGAATAAAAAACACTTTTTTTGGTGCTAAAGACTGAAATGGAACAGTATATCTCAACCATCTCCTGTATAATAACAAAAAAGCTGTTAAAACTGTCGATGGTTGTACTATGTTTAATGTATTTATTTGAGTAATTGCCTTGTGTTTATTT